TCCCGCCATGTAGTGACTTCTTGTTACGGTGTAGCCACACCATTGTGTGATTACACCGACTTGTGTAATTCTCACCTTTGTACGGTTACACCATCTTGTGTGACACCTTTTCATACAAGGGGACGTGGAACCCCATTATATGCTTGGTCATTTTATGGACGATGCACACATATTTCTATCTCCTATACTGTTAGCCTAAATCAGAAGACAAAAAAATGTATATTGATTGCTTCACGTGAGGCCAACAGCCTGTGCGTACCACGAACCTCTTCTTTACTGTGCCTTGATCTCGAATGCTGTCAATGACATAGAAATGTTTTTACAGTTGTACGAACGATATAGTACATATCTCTTTTCCTCTTACCAAGATGGTAACCACTCCATGGTCAAGCTTCTTTTGCCATTTAAAAACATTTCTTGGAAAGCATCCACTGCGCGTGGAGATCTCCTTCACTTCTTGCATTTTGTAGTGTTGGCTCCTGAGAGCATCTTTGCATCGAGAGTCCCCTTTACTGCACATTAGCACATGGCTCAGCGAGCCTCCGAGAAACAAGCGGTCTTCAAAATCGACGTCGTTAAAGCTCTAAGCGGGTAGAGGGCTGAGTAGTAATCTGATAATCTCCAAGCTTTGGTCCAACACGGTTAAATACATCGGAGGGAGGCGTGCGGCCAAGCCATTTAACAAAAAGAAGTTGTTCACACTGTACTTCGCCTCTCCCGTGCACATGTTGAGGGAACCGTGCTTCTTTCCGTTGGCGAGTAGTGTTGCAACACCTCACGACAATGTCCAGCTTGCCCGTCTTTTGGCGCAATAGTCACACAGACTATTGGCAAATTTATCACGTCACGACTATAGCTAAAAACCATCTAAATTATATTTTGACGTCTATACATGCGGGAATTCTGCTCGGACCGATAGAAAATCGAGCACCAGAAATTCGCTATGGACGCTTTGTGACCATACAGTTTATCCATATTTCAATATTCACATCATGAAATATCAAGCATATCGTAGCAGAAGCATTCAAGAAAACCCATATCAATCAAAAGAGATGTGTATTGCTGGTAAGAAATCCGACGAGCGTCAAACTCAGCTTGCGCACTGAGCGAGAAAAACACCCTTTGAATACGTTGCACGCCAGTTTCACTCAAAATGGAGTCCGGCTAAAGAGTCAAATAATGCTTGGCTTTTTGTTGTCTAAATCACAATGCGGACGCGAGGTGAGAATCCATTGCCTGGGTCGTAAACGGCAACGACGTTAAAACAATCCTGCCGAAGTGGAGCTCACATGCCCACCAGTTAATCATTCGCGTAGGCACCTACCACCTTGGAGTCTCATTCAGGTTTTTGAAATATAACCACGGTGGTGCATCCACTGAAATCTGAACCGCACATGCAAAAGCTTACTTTATAGTTTTTCAGCCTGCTCTAGTCTGTGCAATAATTTATTTGAGAATTACGACTCTGAGTTACTTAAAAAATTGTATTCCGCGCTCAACACGAAAATTTCTCAATTTCCTCCTTGCCTATCTTAGCTTATTCTTTGCATCATTACCGTATCTCACCGGCACGTCCCACCTCCTAATGTGAACCAAAATGGCCTTGGCTGCTCCAAGTGTCATGACGTAGCAACGTCAGTATGTGCCCACATCGAATGGCTATCTGATTTCACTAACCATCGATCGAGCTTTGTATCGCTCAGATATTTCATTTGTGTTGGTCATGTTTTGATGCAAGATGCGTGAGCGGGGACAAAGTATTGGTAGTGTTGTGACTCAAAGTTCGAGAGTTTCATTGGAGAAGAATGGATTTGTGCGGAAGGCGCTTACTGACAAAGGCCAGGAGTCTTGCACGGAATCACGAATCGTTGCAAGGTCAAAAATTGGGCCGATTGTATCACAGCTGAATTTGGTGTAGAGTTATCTCATCTTGTTTAAATACGATAAGTCAGTCGGGTCTTCCATAGCCGTTCTGGATGCAAGCGTCGGAGAGCAAAATGTATTCTACAAAAAGCAGGTCACACGCCAGAAATATAATGTTTTGAATGCGACCAAATCTTCATCATATTAAAGCATTTGGATCTTTCACTTGTCACAACCGGAAGCGAAGCGAAAACAACTGGCAATGATTTGCAGATTTGGTTCTTACTTGCTTATCGTGGAAACTTTGTTGGTAGACATGCGTACTTCCCTACGAGCATAAGGAGTTTTATAAAGAGTGAGATTTCTTAGCTAAATACTCAATTGATTTTGATGAGGATTTTCAACCTCGACGCAAGAGGGCAAATATGCTAGTAAATTCACCCTTGCTGGGGTGATCATGATTGATCAAGACTGGGCAGCCAAGTAAATGAATGAATTCTGAATGAATCCGCTCGCAGCATGTTAAGGAGAATTCCCAGAATTTATTATATATTAAAGACCAACTGCAAAAAAGTCACCAGATCTTAAGAATGACTGATCCATTCAAAAAGCTTATGGCAAAGTTATTCAAAATTGACAACGCGAAGCGGTATTGGAATATCCTGTACGGAAGTATCGTATCTTAATGACATGGAGCCTTCGTTCATCTCGTTTTGAACGAAATTGATTTTTTCATCATGTGTCGCTCGCGGCAAGGTGAGACACTTTGACATGAGTTCGTATTAATACTGTTCCATATGCATACACAGCCGTTGGCTATAATTGTATGCTTTCACTGCGGAAGCAATTACGCTGGGAGCATATGATCTTCAGCATACGAAAGTGGTAATTTTCATACAATGTTGAGTCTTGCAATTGGGCCCAGACCATCCATCCTATTAAATTAAACAAATGAATACATCTTTTTTCTTCGTGCATACCACGGTAACGCGCTTCAACGTTGTATGCACTACCATTTCCTTCTTAAAGCACCAAGTGAGGTCCTACAAACTTGTTGCCTTCTTTATAATTCTGCAAGTAGCGAATCTTGTGGTATAGATGCAAATTTATGGAACTTGGGAAGATACTAAACCTTACGTTTTGGTCCGATGAAAACAGTTAGCAAGACTGCTCAATTTATCGGCTTAATCTCCGTCATTTGATGTAATAAGGTGACAATCTATTAACGTCCTGCAGATCTGACAATTGCACAAAAGACTAAATCATCAAAATAGTTTGAGAAAACACGCCAGCAACCTCCACTATAAATAACAGTGGCAAAGATGATAATGCTAAATTATTCGAAATTTGTACAAATTAGTCAGCATTTACAAAACTCAAAAAGTGACGCATTATGAGCCAATTAGCAGCAACGCAACCCCTCACAATCTTCATCAAGCCTTTTTTAAAGCGTCTCTTGAAAATGGCCAAGAAGCGTCAAGGTAACGCAGGAAGTTGGCATCATTGAAAGGAACTTGCGCATTTCCAAAACTATGTTTGTCGTTTAATGCTTCTTGAGCTTCCAAGGTGAGCTGGTGCCACATGACGAGATTCTGAGCACCACCGTCAATCGTCGTGCTTTCCAGTCCATTATTGTTGTAAGCGATCTTGGCATTCCATCCACGCATCATGGCAGGATTTGGAGGAAGTTGAGAAGAGACACTACCATTGGACAAAGAGACCGTCACACCGTGGACAACCATCTTCGTCACGTTTGGATTATTCATCCATACGATAGCATACTCCCAGTTGACAGGAAATGAGGGAAAGAACCAAGTATACATGATAGCCCAGACTGTACCGAACCACGCAGAGCGACCGTACACTTGCGTACCCTCGCAAGGTTTACTACATGAAGCGAAGGAGGGATCAGCTCTCGGGATTCCCTTGCTGACCTGGCCAGCTTTATTAACTGCAGGGTACGGGTAACAGCCATTGGCGATGTAAAGTGTAGGTCGGAACCTGATGGCGGTTTTTTCTGAAATTGTAGCGCTCGACGGCTGTGCCATTTCAAACGGTTCAATCTTGTCATACGCGATAGATGGTTCTTTTTGCCTCGATTGTGTATCCGTCGACGGTGCTGCAACCTGCTCGGCTTGGAGAATCGAAAAGTCCAATTGCTCTTGTTGCACGAAATTATCATCGCTTGAGTCATCATCTCCTTTTTCATGAGCTTTTGCAACCGCAAAGTGAATGGCTAGGATGCTGAGAAGACTGAAGACTTTCATCGCAATTTAAGACAGCGTATTGAAGAGGTGAAAAAATGAAAAGTGACTTGATTGCTAGGTGGCGTTGAAGACACACTTACTGCTTAAGTCAAAGCAATTAGAAGCTAAGAGGCAGCGCCGAATATACTATCCAGTCGGTGTTGATTAATCATTAGATGAGAAAACGGATAGGCCTCCAACTGGTACTGTCCGTAAAAGTATGGACTCCCCTACCTTAAGATACCTTACGTGCATGCAATCGCCTATTAGTCCATTAGTTAAATCCGCATATGTCGTTAGGTCGCGTCAAAGATAGTACAACAACAACACAACATTTACGGACATGGCCGAGTTTGGTCTGCAAGTAATGATGTAGCCTGAACTACCAACTTGCTATTCGGAGGCACAAAAGGCCTTCAAGCGTAGCGCCTGTGAATAAAGAGAAGTTTAAGTGTAAGCAATCAGGATTCGTCTAGAAGGCGTCCGTAGATTGTGCCGAAGGACAAGGAAGACTGTAATTTTCTTCACGACAGAGAGATAAGAACCCGTCTAAACACAGCCAAAAGTTGACCTAAGGGTAAAAGCTAGTCAAGAGGGCATCCGACCAAGTCATTGAACAGTGATAGGTACATGCAGAATGCAAGCAAAGTTACTCCTTATACAGTACAAGAAGACTAAGTTATTCGCACAAAGTAAGCCTCCTCAAGATTACATAGAGTATTTACCCAGGTATTAAAATATGCAATTACGAAAAAATTACAAGCATTATACAATACAGCACTACTTTGTGATGTGCAGCTGAACAGCCGGAATATCGTCCAATCGCTAATGTTCATCAGACTTGAGAATAAAAACGCTTCGAATTCGATAGGCTCATGACTATCGATGTGAGATTTTGATGTTTTGTTCTTGGTCAAATTTATTAAACGCAGCACAGTCGCTTCATCTTGGACGACGTACCACATGATAAGCTTGATGTAGCAGATGAGTTGAGAAGTGTATTATCCATAAGCTTGGTTCATTAGATTGGCCTTACCCATTAGTTTGAGTCCTTAGACTCATACGACATTCCAACAATACTTCGCCATAATCTGCCCGTTCGATTTTTACTTGATCTTGCTCCGTGCAACTTCACGGTACATATATCATTTCGTTATAATTATGCACGACTCAAACGCAATCCTTCCCCCTTTTTGTGTGGCTATGTCATCATCCAAAACAAAGCGCGCAGTGAAGCTTTATTTTTGATTAAGACGTTTCGGATATGATCAATTCTTATCGGGCCAACGAAGCTCGTCTCCTCTGGGACCTTGTCATCGCGGATGTTCAGCGTTAGGGCCCCCCTCAACTTCGCCTTCTCGAACACCATGTTCCGTCAGGTAAAAAGCAGATGATACATCAGATACGACCAGGTGGTGCCCACCATCAAGTCCTTTAATGTAATCAGATATTGATTTGCTCACTCCTACTTTCATTATTCATTGGCCCATGTGATGGCCGTCAAAGACACGCCCTTTTCGGACTTCGCGAGCCTGGGTAACCGTCTGCCATCTTACATCATAAGACGGAATACACGAAAGAAGCGGTCTCAGCGTATGGATGAATCAAAAGGCAAAGGCCAAGTGCCAACCGGGCTGGTGTAACAGGATGACGTCTGACTGCTGTGTCTTAAAGCGAACATAGATGCCAAGGGGATACAGTTGTTACGGGTCCTGTAGAACGTTTTGATCACCTTGACCGAGAAGCCGTAGGGTGGGCCTGACTGGGTAATGAAAAGGCGCTGAAAAAGCAACCTCTGATGGTAACACCAGTATCTGAGAGTACATATTTAGCAATGAGACAGCTGGGTCATGGGCTGAAGGGTGGTTTTGAGGACATGGTGATAGCTGAAGCTTTGTGCCCAAGATTGCTCTAGAATATTGTGGCTTTGTCAGTGTACCGGAAACAGGTGCATGTACTACTTTGTTAGCGTGGAACGCCAGCAAAGTCAAGAAACTTGATACCAAAGTCCACAGGGACCCTTGGCACAGTGACACAAGTCTCCACCGCTTAGTGAACAGAGACAGTGTTACTCAGCCGCGCTTTCAGCGCTTCAGCATACAGCTGACTTCCTTCGATCGTGGAGCATCGAGCATAATTGCCCGGCGCCCCGGGATCAATCAGGATCTTCCGTGGCGTCTCAAAGCCCTTCACGGTCGCTTTTAAGACCAGCAAGCCCGTCTTGCATACACGTTCCGTGTTCAAGGGCCAAAGCTCTTTGGGGCTGGGCCCTGCTGCCCCAACCTCTTTGAGGCACAACAGAACTCAGTTCTTCCCCAGTAGGGCGCCTCACGCCTTCTGGGTTCTGTTGTTTCACCGTGACACACCGGACTGATAAGAAGCAGGAAGTCGATTTGACGAGCCTTTACGCGCCTTGCGCATGGAACATCTAGTCCGAAGGTGACGGGTGTCTCCAGAGACAAATTGTTTACACGCTACTCGGTGGCCCGGAATTCTCTCTCCTCTTTCTCAGCATAGCTGAGATTCATTGGCTCGGACCCGCTCGACGAGCTCTGAGGACGTGCATTCAAAACAAGTCGTGCCGACTTAAAGTTGAATCCGGCATTCAATGCCACATTCACCGCTTCTTCAGAAGAAGACGGATGGATTCGGAAGACTTCCATTCTAGCCACGCCTGTGCGCAGGCCTTCCAGAAAGACGGTCACTATGATTGCCTCGGGATAGAATTGGCTGCCATTCCGGCAACGAGAGTCCTCAACTCTTGGTGCCCTGTCGAACGGAAAGAAAACATCGATCGCACGCAATGTGCCTGGATAGGCAGCGAGAACACTCGTAAAAGCTGATGCTTCTGCTTCTTCCGGAGGGGAACGCCGTTTCAACCGAAGCACCACACGTTAGTGCCCATTCTCGTGCGCGGCCCCCGAGCTTGGTGATAGCTACCTAGTGCCACGCGTTGCTGCTCGCTCTGGAGCATCGTCGATGCCATAGCCATCTCGGCCTCTCTTACCCAGGGCAGGTGATTCTCTCCACCCTTACCCTCGAAGGTCTTAACGCTCACCTTGAGCGGTCTGGGTCAGGAGGAGCTACTCGTCGTCGACGGTGGCGTCAAGGATGCAGTCGACGCTAAGTGCTTCTGCTGTAGGTGCTCTAACAAAGCATTTGTTATAATCTATAAACGCAGCTAGGCGCGCGCTTATCGCCTCTAGACCTTGCGAAACAAGGTGTTCCACGCCCTCATAGCCAAGCAAGGACACCAGTTTATTAAGCCCGTCCTGCATGCCCTGGGGAAAATAGGAGTGTTGCTCCATCCTCACAGAGAATCAGTCGTAACGACTTAGGCACAGATCGACTACAATGATGCCAAGGGTGCCGGGGCTGCCGTAGCTCTTTGCTTATAGGAAGCTAAGCTAAGTAACCGACTTTACGGTTTATACAAGTACCAGTACGAGCGTAGCGGATCGCAATCCGCTACACCCATGAGTACTTAAAACTTTAATTAATGTAAAGACGCTCTTCCGTTCAGAATTAAAACTGTATCTAATTGTTTTATATGCGGCAGAGTCGCCATATCTAAAACCCTAGGTTTTCCTAATAGGATAGTAAAACCTAATTAATATGAATCACTACTGGCAGTCCTGCTACGTAGTGTCTTCTGGTTACAGTGTGCCACACCATTGTGTTATTACACCGTCTTGTGTAATTCACACCTGTGTACGGTCACACCATCTTGTGTGACCCGACTTTCACACAAGGGTACGTGTAACCCCGTTACAGTCAACACACCAACCTTCTCGATGTAATCGTTTCATTTGCACTTTTCTTGCTTGTTGGCAACGGTCTCATAGATCGCCGGTAAAAAGGCAGCGACTCAGGCGTCATCCCATCACGCGCGTACTCCCATCGATTTACCCGACCACGTAGCTTTGAAAGAACAAATAAAATCTGAAATCACTGGTGTGTGCGATGAAGTGCCCTCCAGGCAATGTCCAACAAGCAGACTCAGAACTGGGGTTCTTACTTTCTTTCTTTTCATGTGTGTGCACTTTAAGTCGTGTAGGCTTGGCTTGCACCCTGGGCTCTGAGAGATTGTCCCCGAGTGGGCTTCTAGCATACGAGATCATTTTCCGTTTTTACTATCCAAACATGTTCAATTTGCTCGGTTGGCGACGTTACGCTAAGCTTTTTGGGCTCAGCCTTAAACATGTTTGACATTTTAAAACAATCATATGGAGTGTAGTTCCGAAGGATGATATCAGTTTAATCCACCTAATCACGCGATTCTTCTATCCGCGTAGATCAAAAATTACTATAAGTGCCACTTAAGTGTAGCGAATTGCAACACGGAACCTTGCTTGAGGAAGCGTAGGAGTTATTCAAACTCTTTGTGAATAATTCCTCACGATCTCTGGTCTGAGGGAAGCTTGTACTCTCTGGCTTTCTCTTGCCCTAATTTATTGTATTCACAAATGTAGCTCTATATCTAAAATAATTGCCGTCATGACTGTCGCTTCGTCCTGTATTCTTGGGCTCTCGACAAAAGTACAAATGGTATGCTTTGGTTTTGTAGATTTAATTCCATCCAATGTAAAAATCAGAGATGAATTCGTTAGACTGTAAATTTATTTATTTTTATGATTCCAAATAATCTACAAAATGAATTATAGCATCAATAATCTGTCATGCATGTCCTTCTATTTCGCTGTAAAAATTTCTACTCGATTGGAATGGATTATTAATCCGGGACAATTGCTTCACTGTGTCAAGCTGTAGTGCTGTAGCCATAACGTCGACCATCATGTCAGGAGCTTGTCGGTTTAGCTGAGGAATATTCTCCGAGCTATCTCCATAAGCAGGTCAAAACTTAATCTTAATTAATGTACAAATAGATTTGACTTCATTAAATACGCCTTTTAGAACATGACATCGAGCGTGACTCCAGTAGACACACAGTCGATCGCTGGCATACCCGTGGAGCTAGGGCAGCCTGTGCATGTGAATACCAAGAAACAGCTGCAACGTCAAATAAATGCTATCGTAGCATGGAGTGAAGTGGATCGTGCACCCGTAAATGTGGCACAAACGATGGTACGCGGCAACGAGCACCAAATTGGCGAGCATCCTTATTTTGTGTGTGAGAAATCAGTAGGTGTACGCTACTTGGCACTACTAGTGCAAGGACGTTGCTACCTTATTGCTCAAAACTATGACATTCGGGAGGTCGCGCTTTTTTGCCCTGTGCGGCCTGATCGTTTACAGCCTGGAGCTGATCGGAACACAGTCGTGCCGCACCAATGGACCATTCTGGACGGACTTATGGTTTGCGACAAAGATGGCACCAAGTCGGTTCTAACACTTCTACTATACGACATCTTAGCACTCAATGGCAGTCCCGTAATGACGTCAAAGTTACAAGATCGACTCAAGTTGATCCAGAACGACGTGGTCGGACCACGCAAGCAGCTGCTTCCGCCAAAAGGACAACCTCCTGACATGTTTCAGCTTGTGCTACAATCCATGTATCCTATCAATCGTGTGGGGCATGTTATTCACAACATTATACCTAGAGTCTCCCAGACAAGACAAAATGCGGGGCTGCTCTTTACACCAGTGCTACTACCGTACACGCCTGGACACTCAAAGGGGCTTTTTCAATGGACGCCAATGTCATTACTCTGTGCAGATTTTCAATTGGGTGTAGAGTGGAGAGGACGTCCACCAAAGCCAGGATTTAAGCTCATGATCCATGACAAGCGCACGCAGATCTTTCACGACTGGATCACGTTTACAGCAGGTAATAGAAGTTGTGTAGTCATTTACATGATAGTGCTATTCACGATTTTTTTGGTGAATGGGATTAGATGATTTCGAGGCTTTTCGGCAGGACAAAAAGGCTTCTTCACGAATTCTAGAGTGTGTTTATGACCCCGATTGGCTTACGTATATTCCTTCACACGACAAGAGCACATGGGAAATTGGAAACGCAGAGTTTAACGCTACCGAGCGCGGTCTTGGATGGCGAAAAGGTTTGTCGCAATGAAGCGAAATTGCCGCGTGAATTTGCTGATAGCTTTTTTTCTTAATGGTCATATAGGTGGCTGGAAGTATGTTAGAAGCCGTCCAGATCGCAGCATGCCGTATGAACGTATCTTTCTTGCGATTATTGAAAAAGCAATAAACGAGGACATCAAGTTGGATGAGATCGAACGATTCTTTCCTGAAGACACTAGCAAAAAAACAATGTCGTTGCAACAAAAGAATCGTCATGATGCTCCTTTGACATCCGAAGTAAACAGTTTCAATGCTCGATTACTTCAATATGCTAACATTGAATCGGTATGGTACAGGATAATACTCCGCCAAACAAGAAGAAACGAGGCAACACTAATACAGCAAGTGGTCAGAATACTGGCACAGGCGTGTGCTACGATTTCCAGAACAAAGGCGTCTGCCAACGCGGTCGCTTCTGTCACTTTTCGCATTGTGCATGCAATTCGACATGCTCGTGCACACCAACCAAGAATACTTATGGTAATTGATGGCTTAAACCTCAGTAGTTTGTGAAGTGTCGAAACTTTTCTTTTGTTATCTCATGCAGGCCAACGACCATCTTACAGAAGAAATGATTACGATGCACCACCATCACCTGAACTTGTGCCTTCGATCGGTGATGCATCCGGAGTGCCAGACAAGACTTCTGTGATGCGTCATACTAACTCATTGGACCGTAATTTTAGCATGGAAATCGACGGGAATCCTGGAGAAGAGGGAGAAGCTGGAGAGCTCACCGACAACGGTCCGTCAAGTATGTACCAATTTGTTAGATAATCTGTTGAACTGACTCCATGTCGGTCAGGTAATTTGCACATGAAAATCATTTTCGCGCCTCTCGAACATTTCGATAAAGAAACCATTGCTGCTAAACGAGCACAGCTGACAGCGCTTGGAAATCGACGTATTTGGGCAAGCCTAGGACTCGAGGACAAGCCTCAGCGAACACGGCCTTGTGGACTTATCGTATCCAAGTCTGGTGAAGTGGTGTATGTTCGACCGCTTGAAAAATGAAAGCCAAGGTATGTCATTATTGTATTAAGAATAAAAATTTGCCACTTTGCCCAAATTACTTGATTTTCAAGACATTAATATTTAGACAAACACGACAAGCAATTTTTCGTAATTCGCATCAATAATGACGGGCAAATGAATTAACTTTGAGATTGTATATGTGCAAGATCTCAACGGTTAATTAGCATGGAAGGACCATAATTTTTTAGCGTTGTTGAGATTAACGCACACTGTACAGCGGGCAGGACGTCGCATACATTGGTGCACATAGAAAGGAACTCTTAAGATTGAGCATAATTTACGATAAGCATAGTCTATTATCCACTACAATAGCAATGCAATCGGAAGAGGTAAATGCTATTCTTGTGCTCAAGGAATCAAGCTTCATTTAATATATTACTTATATCCAACATATTCCAAGAAAAATTTAACTGGGCGACATTCTCTAAGTGAACAAGCTACTGTCTTCGTGAATCTAGCGAAAAATAAAGCGACGCTTCTTAAAGGATGTAATGCTGATAGTTCATATCAGCGTCTGAAGCCGTGGTCAATTCTAATAGATTCAAGTACATCGAGCAATTATGTACGATGCACGACTGTTGAACTTAGTAGACAGTACTTGGGGGCATTGAAAATGTCAAATACAGATACGATATCCTTATGTCTTGACAAAGATTATGTCGAGCCTTCAAGTGGGAGTTGGGGGCTCATACGGAAAGGTTTCTGGTCCGAGACCTAGACCTGGATACGATCCCTTTAAGACATGGCGTGGCTAGACCACCACGATTCATGGGTCAGCTCATAAAAGCTAGATACCACGCGATTTATCCCTGATAGACCACTGGTGAGTTACATACCAACCTTTGCCAGGAAATAGAAGCGTTTTTGACCAGGGCAAGAAGCTGCGATAGCCGTCGTGCAAGACATGAAACTGTCCAAAATCGATAGCAATGGTATCGCTCGGGTGCCTGAAGCCGAGATCGAAAGGATTGAGCCGCGGTCACAAAAACTGACAAAATCATAGATTTTACATCGCGGTTGCCAGATTACATCTCCTTTGGGGCGTAATAGGACGGTTGGATGTCGCGGTTCTTAGAGTGTATCTCTGGTGGACCGTAAAGAGCAGCTGTGAATAATTGTCTCTGTGACAGGGATGGTGAACTGTAGAAGCGATTGAGTTTCGCAGTCTGACATGACAGAACCAGTGGGGTCTATAGGCGACCGCAAGTGTCCCTGAAGATTATAGGACGGACATCCTTGTCACGATTTTAGAGCACTGCTGAGTCAGCACTATTGTGTAACGCCCCGGGCGGATCCACCGCCCGAAGCAGTATAATTAGAAGTATGAATGCCGAAAAACGTTGTCACACGCGAAGTGATTGACTTTGGTAATCCTAGAGTTAAATCCCTCACCTTCGGTAGTGTGATGTTACTGTTGCCTTTCGGGAACAAAACATGGCTCATAGATATTATCGACCCCAGCAATGTCCTTCACAATGCGATGAGAACTCCGCGAAAACGGCATGGCTGACCCCTTACCAGTCTTTGGAATATTCTAGATCGACACTAGTGAATTATACTAGTAATAATGTTGTCCTGTTGCCGTGTGTCTAAATAAATCGTTAAAGTAAGAGATGAGGCAGCGTCTGTGAGCTTCATATTTCCTCCGCCAATCTCTGTGTTGAATGTATAATTGTACAATCGCATTAGGCTGATAAGAGTCAAAGACTGGTATCAACGAATCATTTTGTTTCATTTGACCGAGACATAAAACACATGCAACTGTCTGATAAAAGTAAACCTCTAATGAATTGAAAATTGCGTATATTTTTGCTCTTTGATTGTTCTTGATATCTTGTCTAGATAATCTGAACTGTACCTATCCAGTTTTATTGATTTCACTCTGAGAAAAGTTTGAATATTTTTAGTAAATTTGTTTTCGATTTCAAATTTATAAGCAATGTTATCGTATTATATATTAACTAAGTATCGTTTGTGAAGTCAAATAACATCAGCAATGTGCATCATGCGCACACAGCTTGAATCACATTGTGCCCAGTTGGACGGTGTAAAATTGTGTATTCATTTCTAGTGTTGCAGTCACCGACAGTTTGGGTAAATATAATAAGTATTTGACTTGAACGTTTAGAATTTGTATGAAGATGTCTGAAAAAGTTTGACGAATGCAGACTTAAACGTTAAATTCTCGTTCGCATCGGAACTAGTTCAGCAATACTCGCTCGCATTGTGACTTTGAGACTTAAACCGTTAGCTCCATATAATACCCGATCCTTCTATTTTTCAAAAAGCAAGTGCTTGTGTGTTGGCAAAATGCGAATTGAGTATTCTAAAGGTCCTTAGATCCCTGTGCTACCTCTAAATCTGTCTAGAATATCTTACAAATATCCAACTACATTTTTACTAGATTTATGTCCCTTTTATGTACCCATGTATAGTCTTCATTGGATACTTGGTTGCCGTTCAAAACCACAACTTGCACATCTGCATGTTCAAAATTGGAATTTTAACTAGTATCCACCTGTTAAGATTTACGCTTGAGGTGCTTATAGGCAACAGGTACGCCAAAATTCTGTAATTACTTTATCCGTAAGAACCGCTTATTGCACTGCTGTTATTGGATACGTCTGTCAGTTCTCGAGATCGTTGTACGCGTTGAGAATCCGGTAATCATCAACATTTGTATGGCTACCATTCCAATCAGTAACTTCACGATGTCGCAAGCCACCTGGTTGTCGAGTTGGTTCTTGCTTGCAATACCCGAACCAGTAATTCAACAACATTAATTAAGAAATTTGACCAACGCGTACCTTTGTACATCACCCCTCTACCAATGTTGAAATGTTTACCTTTGAGTACATTTGATGAATTCTTCGTGCCAAACTTTAATGATCTACCATCAACAGAACAACGTCGAACAAAGCCTTCAAATTGCAAATAATTTCAGAGTCGAACGTTTACACGGATTTAATTGGGTTAGTAGGCGGAGATCAAATTTTGAAATTAAAAAGGGACCACGCAAACTTCTAAGTAGACGCGATATAGATGAGAAAAAGCATTCCGCGATTATTTACAGCCATCGAAAGCTAAAACCGAAAATTATTTCGAGATTTCAATGCCATGATCCAGGTTTCTCTGCTGTGGCAATATTGTATAGCCTCGTCTTTTAGAGCCCTTTACCTATCACCAATAGAATAGTTTTAATAGGTAGCTGCAATGATTACAAATTGGACAGTTTTTTTTCGGGCTAGTTGCATTGCAACATCGCGCAGATTCAATGTTTTCTCCGTTACTGCTGCTCATTGTTGCCAATGCTGGTTAAACATTATATTATACAATATAGCATGTCTAGTTTGTAGTGGCAATAGTCTCATGAAGTTTTAAATGAGTCGAAGGATGGCCGAGGGCCCGTGGGATCCGCTTCGGCGCCAACGCTTCCGCGGTCACTTGCGCTGCATACCGGTACGGCTTGAGCAAGCCCACACAAAACACCGGGTGACTGCGCATCCATTTTGAGAGGTTCAGCGAATACGCTAGGCCCGCTTGGCCACATCCTTAAACTGTCCGATGAACCATGGACGAAGCTTCGTCCTGAAGATAGCAGAGGCTGCATATGTAGGCAGGTTTTTAGAATTGAATAAAAAACCAGGTCCCTGATCTTCAAGCTTTCTACTTTGCCTCTTCTTTTTTATCTGCATTTTCTTTCTGCAGATCTTGGCTTTCAGCCATCGCATCGCGAACACGTGTCGTAGGACACTCAGTCTAGTAGACCAGAAGTCATCGACTTCCTTACGGGGGCTGACATCAGCTAGCCTTTCGGGTATTCCTCCCCCACCAAGCCCTGAGCCATGGGATGGCGGCGTCAGGGGGACGCGAGGGTGAACTAGTCTGTTCACGGAGAATGGCGTGTAGCCGGTAGACGAATGCACTGCATTGTTCAGTGCAAACTTCACGAATGGCATCATGGCGCTCCAGCGCCTCGGCGTCTCAGCGCAGACGCTACGTAGAACGCCTTCAATAACGCGTATCACCCTTTCGGTTTGACCATCGGTCTGTAACTGATCATATAATTTTCTTTAAAATTAGAATCGATTTTCATCTCTTCTAATTCAACAGAAGATCTTCTTCTTTTTAATATTTCTTTTTCATCTTTAAAATTTACCATTTTAATTTATCTATTTCTTCTAATTGTTTTAAAACAATACTACCGACCTTAATCATTGCTGTCGACATATCCAACTTGGTGCCTAGCATCTTGAAGATTATCGATCAAGCTTTTCTCGCGATACGGAAGTTTCTATCAAAGACAACCGACTCTGGGAGTCCGTTGAGATCGAAAACACGATTCACGAACAGCGTTGCTGTACCGACTCCGTCGATGGTGTCGGGCACCGCCGCCAATTAGCCAACTTGCACGACACCCATGTTGCCCGCCGAATGTTTCGGCAGGCCAAACACGAAGTCCAAACTCATGGACTGCCAGCACCCAGTGGATATCGGTAAGCTGGCCAGCGGCGCAGCCGCATCTGGAGTGAGTTTTACCCATTGACACGCCTCACACGTGCGCACATAGCTGCTCGTTCATTTGTACAGCTTGGGCCACCAAGAGTGGCGACTCACAGAGTTGTACGTTTTCTCACGACCGACATGACCGCTGGGTGGCGTGTCGTGAGCCTCATAGAGAATGCGGTATTTTAAATCCTTATCATGAATAACCACAATTCGTGGTGTATCCGTTAAATCGGTGCTATAATATACCA